CATTTCATGTAGCTGACAATCCTTATTATCAATCAATGATTTATGAAATTGCCAAAGCTGATTTTGGTATTACAAGCCCTTCAACTTATCAAATTAGAAATGAATATTTAGACAAAGAATTTGAAGAGTTTGAGAAATATCTTGGAGATATTTATGATAAATTTTTAACTTTTGGTTGTATACTTATGTGTGATGGGTGGAGCACCCGTACAAAACATCCAATAATAAATTTTGTGATATACAGTGATAGACACATGATATACCATAGTTCAGTTGATTGTACCAATATCAAAAAAACTGATAAATATATTTTCAAATTAATGGACAAGGTAGTATAGACTGGGGGAAAATAATGTTGTGCAAGTTGTGACAGATAGTGAATCTAGCATGAAAGCAATTAGACAACTGTTCATAAAAAAAGAAAAATCAATTCTAGTCACCTTGAGCTGTTCATTGTATAGATTTGATGTTCGAGAATGTTGGCAATATAGAAAATATAAAAGAAACTATTATTTAGGGGAAGAAAATAACAAGTTTCATATATAACAACGACAAAAAGTGATTCTAATAAAGATATATACAAGAAAAAGGGAACTGCTACATCCAGGTATCACTAGATTTGCAACTGAATTCATTTCTATGGAAAGTCTTCCTCGGCATTTTACAGAACTGAAAAAAATGTGCACCTCGAATAAATGGGTAGAGTTCAATAACACTACCAAGAAAAAAACAGAAGCTATTAAAGTAGCTAAGTTGATATTGTTAGAGAAGTTTTAGAAAAATGTTAGAAATGTGTGTCCAATAATGGAGCCTCTAATCAAAGTTTTAAAAACTATTGATCAAGATAATAAATCAATATTGTCAATTATTTATATGGCAATGGATAGAGCAAAAATGGCTATTCAAAAGTCGGTGAAATTTTGAAAAAAAATTTGGAAAGTGATTGATAATAGATAGTACAACCAACTTCATTGTAATTTACATGCAGCATATAATTTAAAATATTACATGCAATTCAAGTATGTAATATATATGTATTTATTATTTTTTTAATTTTATAATTTTATTGCATTTAGTATTTTTTTTAAACCCGATCCTTCAATATTCTGGAACTTGTGTGTTTAATCTAGATGAAATTCAAAAATGATTGAAGAAAATCATTGCAAAGTTGGAGCCGAATTTAGATGCACAAGTTGATTCAATAAATGAGATATTTTTTGATTATTTTATTTATTTATATTCATGATTATATTCATGAACAAATTTTAAATTTTTAACACTTGTGTATATATTATTTTTGTAGATCAAAATTTTTGTAGACAAAAAATAAGGATTTGGAAGTGCTATTGCAGCAAGAGCATAGTCAAAATCTTTACCAGGTTTCAACTTAATTTATACTTATATAAATATATAAATCATATTAATGAAATTAATATTTTTATAATTTTAAAATAATAATAATTATTATTATTATTATTATTACTTTGTTTGTTTAGTTGAATGGTAGCTTAACTACGTTGAAGATATGTCAAATCTAAGGAAAATTACTGTGAAAATATTGAGTCAAACTTGCACATCCTCTAGTTGCGAGCGGTCATTAATTCATACAAAACTACGTAACCGTTTGGCAGTTAAAAAATTGCATAAATTAGTTTTTGTGCATTACAATATGCGATTAAAGGTGAAAATTTTGATGCATCAAAGAAATACTGATGATTTCTACAATTTAATTAACTTGAATCACATTTTTCACCAAGATGATATATTGGATGATTGGATAAGAGAAAATAAACAACCCACATTGCCTGAAGATAATCTAGATTGGTTGGATAAGGGCATTCGTCAAACTGAATCAGAAAGTGGTGAATATCAAGAATATGACAATGATGATTTTGGTGATACATTGTCCCAATATATTACCAAAAAAGAAAAGAAAAGTGTTGCTCAATCATCAGGTAGGAAGGAGAAAAGTGACTAAATAAACCAATAAGCATATTATTTCATCATTTTCGAATAAAAGTGACAATGATAATGATGATGATGACAATGGTGACAATGGAGATGGAGGGGACAATTTTTGAAACACAGTGGTGGTTACAAAAGATAGAAATCTACATGCTTATCTACAGGCTTGAATTTAGCTAGAAATAGAGAAGATAAATTATAATTTTTCCCAACTATGAATACTTTTATTGTTCATCTTCTCTGCAAATGATCTTGTAGAAGAAATCCCCACAAATTCTTAGGGTGTAGGACCAATTCCATTGCAATGTTAAAACGTTCAGTCTCGGATTGAAACTGAAAATTCATGACACTATAAAATGGTCCTAAAATAATTAGTACACTATGATACAATGTTATTTTAACAACAAAATTTTTTTTTACTAAAAGTCTAAAATATCCATGACATACGTATGAGGGATATTTTACCATATATGTATCTCACATCTAATCATGAAAGTTAATTTGAGAAAAAATATTTTTGACAATAGAATTATTTTGAATTTAGTCAACAAGTTGAGATTTTTTAAACAATAAAAGTGAAATATTTTGGGAACTTAGTTGTTTATTTTCCCATAATTAAAAATTGCTATATTTTAGCAATTGTTGCCATTGACTTTTCATTCTGTAGACTAATTTTTATCAATGCAAAATTAGTTTTATTAATAATAATTGAAGTTCCATTGATCCGAGGATTGGCATTTTATTGCTATTATTTTATATGTAAATATTTAACCTAAGTAATAAAATAAATAATAGCTACTTAAAAAAAGAAAAATTGGTGCTCAATTGATTGTGGTGTAAAATATTAGTATACAATTAACTAGAGTTTGAAATGGAATTAAATTTATTTAGTATTTTACTGCTAACAACTTTGACCCCATTTAATGGTTAAAGAAAAAATAAAAGAAACGTAGAGACTGGAATTGGTACCTTAGTGTGAAAAAGGAAAGTTTTTCTAAACTAATGCTGCGTGAAATTTTGGATGCACATGAAATTAGGAATGTGATAACTTTGCAATTCATTCTCGTTTATGATGAATTTCTTCGATTCTATATAGAATCCCAATTTTTTTCGTTCAGCCGGAAAACATTCTTTTTTTGTCATATTGATGGCTTTTGCTTTTAAGATTATCTACATGTCGGTGGTTAGTATTATTGACAAGGTTAGAGGTCATGGAAAATGTTACTAATTTTAGGAGAAATTATGTATTGTAAAAATGGTTTAATAATTTTCTATTAAGCATAACTACTGCATACAAAAGGAAAAGCTATTTGATTTTATTTTGCTTTAATTAGAAGAAATTGTGCTAGTAATAAAGGAAATTTGAATTCAACAATCAACGTGCACATGATTACAGTAAATTTTTAGTCATTTAGACTAATATATGCGATAAAGTAGTCAGATTTAGTCGTTTGTGAATTCATAATTTTAACAGTTTATATAAAATTTATCTATAAAATTCATCTATAGAAAATATGGTGATGTACAAATAAGTGCAATTCTATATATAGCTCGAAAGATTTCTTGTTACTGTCATCCAAACTTTCTAACCTTTCACAAATTCAAAATTTATAATATGACAAATTATTCTTACATATTTTATAAGGTCATATGCAAAAAAAAAAAGTTTTCATAGTATATTTAAAATGCTTAAAATATATAACATTTATAAATGCTACGTACAATTGTGTATCATACATTTACATTACGAGTAATTACTAACTATAATACTAAGCTTCAATTATTAATAAAAAAATCTTAGCATTATTTCAAATAAACTCCCTAATACTTGTTTCATATAAGTTTCTTTAAGTAAAATAGTAAATTTATACCACAAACTAGTAAGTTTTGATGATTAACCAAATTTACTATTCTATCAACAATATTTACTATTAATCTATAAAAACTTACTATTACTTGAACTAAACTTACTCTCCAAAAACTAAGTTTCAGATATAGAGTAGTAATTTACTTCAAACAAAAAAGTAAATTCCATATTTATTCAAATTTATTTTTTGAGACATAAAAGTTACTAATTTATTGAGTTAACTTACTATTTTTTATGTAAAACTTACTAACCAAAATTTTAGGTACTATTTTATTTAGATGACCGGTATAACAGGTAATCAAATGGTCGCTACAAGTATTTTTACCTGTTATATCAGGTAAAAACAATTTCGTTACCATAACGATCGTTACTTCAGACTTTTCCTTACTTCTTGGCGCAAATATTCTAAAACAGGACGAAATGTAACCTTTTCGAATTCCCATTGTGGGCCAACGTCTTTCAACTCAAAAGAAACTTCCACTAAATTACTAATTACTTGCAAAGCTCTTAAATTGTGGACCTAATTATGTCGATAAAGCTAGGAAGCAGGACAACAATTCATGAATCATAACCTAATAATCACAATTTGGCGAACAATTACTAAAACAATTCTTGAATCATAACCTAATAAAACAACAGCAAAAGCAAAATACGGAAGTGTGATGAACAATTTTGGGAGTGACCTTAACGATTCCCATCAATACAAACTGAAGTATTTAAACAATTCAATTCAATATAGCATATACCAAGAGAATAAAGTTAATATCCTTATACTATATAAGATTGAGTTTTTAGTCAAAGAGTAGGTTGAATTTCAACCGCATGGGTGGGGGCTTTTTGGGAATGTTAAATATTGTGTATTAGCCTAACAGCTTTAGGTGCAATTTCACAAAGCATGTATTTGGATATGTTTACTGAAATGACCCCATTTTAATACATTTAAAGTTCTCATTGATGAGCCATCTGAGTATTGATGGAATATGTAATGAGTGTGCAACCATTTTTGCCTGTTGTACACCCCATATATGCTTGTGTGTTGATGTAATTACCGAAATACCCCTTAGGCCCAATTATTCCTCTAAACGGACAAGTAAACGTTGCTTCTATGTGGGAGGGGGTGTCGTTGAAATCGTCCGGTACCTGAAACGTTCCAATGGTTGCCTAACCGATATGGCTGTTAATGGTTTGGTCGGAACCCACTTCCTTATCTTTTAATCTGCATTTATGCCCCACGAACGTAGGTCCGTTACCCCCTTTCAGCTTCAGTTTCCCGTCGCCTCCCTTTATAGTGACCTGCCATGACGTTTCCTCTTCTTGGATTCAATTGCTTAGGTCCGACTTCTGTTAGCTAGATGAGCCACTGGTGTATGAACTCTACTCTGAAATTACCAATCATTTGTTTGTTCTTTTTAGACTTTGGATTGATCGCAAATTCTAGCATGATTGGTACTCAGCCTTTTTCTTTTCTGTGTAAGAGTTTTAATTAATTTGTCGAATGTGATTTGCATTTTTTTGGTTTTCAATTGGTGAAGAAAGAGTAAAGATGCCCATTTTTGTTTCGAATTTAAGCTGCATTTCTGCTGCTTGGTACTTGGGAATAATTGTTTTAGGAATTTAGGAAAATGGAAACTTTTGCAGAACTTTGAATAAGCATAATCCCATTTCAATTTTCGAAGCCTCGTATGGTGCCTCAAAGGTATGATCACAGACTCATAGCAATGTTGGAGGGTATAGTGATTGTGAGTTTGAACTCTAATTTATTCATGATTCTGGGAACTTTTTTCATAATTTTGATTGCCATTAGGAGTTCATGAAAGGTGTGGTTGGTGCAAGGTCATCTTCTGCATTCTTTAGGTTATTTTGCTTTTTGGTAGTATCGAATTTATGGGGTTCAACAGCTGAAGTTTAACAATTGATAAACTTCAGGTTTTCCTTTTTCCTTTGCAGTTCAAGAGTTAATCAGTTATTAGATAGTGAAGTTCTTAGTTCACCACTTTTGCAGTTCAGGGTTTTTTCTATGTTTGCTATGAAGAAATTATTTTATCTCAAGTCATGTTGCAGCGGAAATGGAACTATTTGCTTTGACATTTTTCACAGATCAAACATTTTCTGCATCAAAGTGGTTTGGTAGCTCCTTTTCAGCCTCTTTTCTGCTCAGGAAAGAAAATTTATTAAGGGAAGGGTGGTATTCATTGCATATTAACTGGATTTCTGTTCGGTGACAGTTGCTCTTCATTTCATCTGGTCTTTGGTAGTAATTTTTAGCACCTTTTCTTGCTTTTTTTGCTTTCTAATGCAAATTTTAATTTTTACGACCGTGGTTTCCATTCATTTTATTTAAATATTGTTGTAAATGTCTTAATGGTGGTGAATGGATTCTTTGTAGGTAATTCTTCCTGAAGTAATAGATGTTGACATGGATGACGACTATGAGGATATTATGCTTTTGGATACAGAAGTGGACACAAAGAGGAAGGGCAAGGTAACTATAAACTTTTGTTCGCAAAATGTTGCTTGGTACAATATTAATTGGATTTGTGAGTCAGCTGACTCCAATATGGTACTTCTTGTTTGTAGACATGACTCTAATATGGTAATTTTGAGAGTTTGATGGCGGTTTTTCCATGTGGACTTGCATTTTAAATTTGAATTCATTATATGGTTGGTATTCCTGTTAGAACTTGGTTGTATTTTATATATCTGCAGATGTCATAGCGAGGGGGGTTGTTTTGGCCAATAATGGGCGAAGCATTAGTTCATGGTAAATTGGTGAAGGTATTACTAATGTTGTTGTGCTTATCATAAATATTTGTCCGTACACCCTTTGGGAACTTGCTGCATCTAATTATTTGTTTTCGGGAACTTCCTGATTCTAATATTGGAAGACTCTTATGTTGTTTGTCTTATAATCATACCTGCTTCTAATTATTTATCGCAACGTACTATTCTCGCAATGTATTATTATTTGTCTAACCAAAAAACTTTCTTCGACCACAGGCACCAAACACCCCCGCGATGCGCGGGCACTCCTCCCCTAGTTATTGAAGAAAATGTACCCATTGTTAAATTTATATGAAATTGAACAATGGTAGTACGACAATTGAAAATTTCTAGATATATCTGCATCTACTGGCTTATCTTAATCTAATATTGAAGAACCTAAAACTTGATGAGTACTCTAAAGTTAACAAAAGTCAAAACATATATATTTAAAGGAATAATCATTTAAAACGTAACTCACATTTTGTCAAATAAACTTTTTGTCTTTTATTTTTAAAATAGTAATTTTATGTCTTTTACAATATCAAGTTGATAAAATTTAGCCCCAACTTAAATTTTTGATCACTTTTTAGTTTAAAATCACTACATAACCCACATATAGTCAATTTTTATGTGCAAAAAGGTAAAATTTCACTTTTTCAGTAGCAAAAATAAATATGAATTGCGTCCGATCTCATTTTTTTAGGAAAAAATAAATATGGTTTAAGTTGTATTCTACCTTTTTTTAGGGCAAAAATAAAGATCTAACCTTTTAATAATTAAAAAGTGATTGTATGTAAGTCACGTGATGGATTCGGAATAAAAAAAGATCGAAAATCTAGGTTGGAATCAAATTTTACTAACTTGGTTTTTGTAAGAAATGTAAAATTATTATTTTAAAAGTCAAGGACCAAAAACTTTATTTGACAAAATATTAGGGACATTTCAAACAATTTTTATGTTTAAAATTAGGCCCCTAAAAAAAGGATTGAGATAAAACAATTGTTGGGTTAACGAATCATAATAAGTTCAGAATAAAATGTTGCAAAATGACAAAGTAAGGCAAAACTTCAATCAAGTGGCACACGCGCTCATCTATCTTTAAACTGGAATTGGAATAATGGTACAAACACATTAAATAACCTCTAGGTATTTTGACTTTTGGCACGAACTATGACGTTCTTCGGTTGGTGTCATATTCACATGATAAGGAGAAGGAGGTGGCGGGAGGTTTTGTAGTGGCGGAGGAGGGAGGAGAGGAGGGATGGTGGGTAGAAGAAGAAAAAGGTGATAAAATTTGATATATATATATATATTATTAGGTTTATATGAAAATTTTTGAACATTTTTTATGTGTTTTTAAAAATATTTTTGGAGCGTTACAATAAACTCCCATGATAAAAACTAATACTCCCTTCGTCCCACTTTGATAGTCCTGTTTCTTTTTTCACACAGTTTAAGAAAAAGTAGTTAACTTTGTTGGAAAAGTAAATTTAGATTGCTATTTTCCTAAAATACCCTCACATTAAATAGAGTACAACTTTATGGGAACTTGAATTGATGGTAAAAAAAGAATCAACTCTCATTAAATGGGGTAGGTTTATAGCAACAACAACTTGTATTGAATAAGGGTATTTTAGGAAAATGAAATTACAACTACATTCTTCAATTGGAAAGTGGACTGCAATTTGGGACAGACAAAAAAGGAAAACAGGACTATCAAAGTGGGACGGAGGGAGTATCTCGAAAAACAGGTAATCCATGCACAAGAAAGACTTAGGCTTTGTTTGGACAGCAATTTTCTAAAGAGAAATTGCTAGTGAATAAATTTTTCAATCACCTTTTTACCTCACATATATCAAATCGTTACAGTAATAATTTTCTACCAAAAAAATCCAGAAAAATACAATCCAAACAAGACCTTAATCTTCACGGGAAGACACTGGCAAAATTAGTGAAGCCATTGAACCAATTAGTGGAGTCATTTGACCGCAACTGGTGGGCACCGAAAGGGTGGAATGTATAATTTCTGAATCATGATCAAGAAACTGATTATGCCCTCTTTCTCCTTGAATCTAAGCGTGTGAAAGCGCGTTTCTGGATCCGAGTATTCTGCACTTGTAATTCAGCCATAAGAGAAGTGGTTCGGTACTTTTGCCTTTTGTATGGAAAATCATGTTCTCTTTCCGTGTTTGGAAATCTCATGAACCAATCTTCATCAGTCAACTCCATATGGCAGCCAGAGCAGCAAGCACTACTACTGAAATCGGTATTTAAGTCAACACTTCGTTTAGATTAGTTGCTTTTAAAAATATTTTTGAAAAATTTTATTATAATAGTGCATATAAAAAATTTTTATTGTATAAATGAAATGTTTTTTGAGTTATTGTGTATTATTGTGACATTGTATTTGAAAAATTTGTTCTTGAAAAAATGGTCAATCCAAACGGAGATATAATTACAAATAAATTAATTTCTAGGTTCTAAAATTGATACTATACATCTTTGGTCACATTCATCGTGTCCATATGTGCAAAACGAAAGAGCACTTTGAAAGAAGATCCGATGGACTGTTGGATGAGTGTTGTTTTTTGACTACCAAAGTTGGTGCAATGAGTCTGCACTATGGTCTTCTTTGTTTCAAGATAAAACTCTATGGCCTAATATGATGGATCAGGCATTGCCTTGAACCATGGTCTAGTGTGATGGATCAAGTTTCTCCAAAGAAAAAAATTATGGATCAAGAAGTTTCTTGCACCAATACCTTTGGCCACGTTGACAAAGTACCTCTTCCCACATTAGCGGAAATGGGACAGGGACTGTCGTCAGAAAGACCATTCTGATGACCGTTTCTGAGCAATTCACGATCAAGATTTGATCAAAAAATTTTGTATGATTCAGATTTCATTTTATATTTCGATTTTAACAGTATATGTGGGATTCACAAAATTTTGTCCTAAAGTTACATGACGTTGAAAGCAAATTATACCATGTACAAACAAAGTTACGCGCAATGCAAAATGCACGTTACTGCCAGTGGTCCCACATTAGCTAACTTTTGTACTTGCTCGGAAGCTATGTGTCTTTCACAGGTAAGACTCAACCTCGGCCACGTAAATTCTTCTTAGTACAAAAAGTCACTCGGGCATTTCAGATCTTCAGACATCAGCTGTACCCCAATAGCCCACCACCGCCATGGCCACCAAGACCAAGGCACTATGCGTAGTGTTGCTGGCTATAATGATCAATGTGGCATCCACTGCAGCAGCAGACACCGCCGCAGCCGGATACATTAATCACACGGTTGGAGGTGCAGCTGGCTGGTCCTTTGACACCACCACTAGCAAGTCTTCCGCTGATTACTCTGCTTGGGCTGCAAAACAAACTTTCAATCTGGGAGATTATTTGAGTGAGTAAACTTATATGGATATGTAATCTAGCATCTTTTTGGTTTGATCTTTTCTGGGTTTTTATCTCAGATGATTTAATTTTGTTCTGCTCAAGTCGTTAAAGATTTCATTTTGATGATTGTTGCCTTTCTTGTATTGATTTTTTTGGTTTGGTTCATTTTAATTGAGTACATTCTGTGATTTGAATGATGACTAGTTACTGGAGATTGCTTGAGCAGAAATAGAAATTTAAGCTTTAGTGGTATGATCTATCTTTTCAAGGTTCTATCTGCCTAATTGTGATATAAGGTGCACTCCATCTTACTTTGCATTTTGTGCTTTCACTGATGAGTTATGACAAGTTTAGCTGCAGTGTCCCAGATCGACATTCTTCGCTTAGAAGATTGGGGAAGACAAGAACCTTTTAAAATTTAAAAATCTATAGTCTGTGTTTTTCTGATTTAATTGGTCAAGTTTATTTTCTTTTCATTTTCATTGTAATCATGCCAGCTAGCCTGAAAGATATAGAATTTTCAAGGGTATAGAGTCATCCCCTGACAGCCTGGGCTACTTAACTGCCTTTACAGAGGCACGTGGATTTTCAAGGATATAGAGCTTCTTGTTCTTTAGTAGGGTTATAACGTTATAAGGCTAGAGTAGATTATCATCCATAATAGTAGTGTTTAAAGATTTGCGAATCAACATTTGCAGGAGTTTTATTGGATAACTGAGGCAGATTACTTGCTGCTATCGAGTACACTTGACACTTATGTTTTGCTTTCAGTATATTTAAGAGATCTGGAAATTGTAAGTTCGTTGATGACAGGATTAATTCAAATATAAAAGGCAGGTTTATATTGTATTATGAGACTTGGGATACTTGTTCCATTTTGCAAATTGGTGTGAGATTTTCATGTTAGCTTGAGTAATTTTGTAATGGCCATGCCAGAATTCTTGGCAGGTGGACCTGGCTGATCATTACTTAATAGTTGAGAAGCTCATGTCTTTAGATGGATGATGAATCATAGGTCCAGATAAGGCATAATGCTAGCTCTCACACTCTGGAGTAGGCTTCCCCAGATTAATGATTTGGTTGGTCTTTATTTCACTACTTTCAGCACTGAACAAATAAATCAGATGATCCAATTACTTTCCAACTGAAAGGATGGTAAAAGAGTTGCATCTAACTTAATCACATTCTGATAAGGCAAGCACAGGCACTTGTAAAGGTGCAAATGGTTAGAGACATGAGCTTGATTTCCAGACTCCTCATCATTTGGTCATTCAAGAGTTTCATCCAACATCTAAGAGCAAATTCTAATGCCAAACATCTAAATGCTGTTCAAATCAATGTTTTTGGAGTATTGGCAATTTAGTCAGTGAAGTTCATGGCAATATTAGCTCACAGTTAGCATATCTACTGGCTTCATCTTAGAATATACTGGATTCATTTCAGAGGGATGATTCAGGAAAGCAATAATAGGACAAATTTAGGCTATTGAAATACAACACTATCATTTCGAGGACTGTGATAAAATCAGGGGGCATGTCCCTCAAATACCAGTAATTATTAAAAAAAATAAATAAAGACTCAAG